AGAAAAAGAGGTGATTGTCTTTAACAAGGGAGTGCAGAGGGAACTTGTGCCTTCTGCCCTCCTTCCCAAGGCCCTGTCAGAGATGAGGCTGACACAGGGCAGGTGGCAGAGTGCCAGGCAAAACCAGAGTACCCTGACCCCTCCCAGAGGATTAATGGTGTCTTGATGCACCACAGATACAAAGAAGTACCAGAGACAATTCTACCTGAACATAGCCTAAGTTAATTCTGACATATTTTTGAAAATATTTCTGTTTATTTTGAATCATTTTAACTAGCCCTTTTATTGGAAGGGCATCTCACATAATAAAGTGTCTACTCTCTGTATTATAGGTCTCTTATTTAGACCAATACTCTTATTTATACTTATTTATTAATCAAGAGGCCTGACAAGCTGCTGCAAATAAAGCTGCTGCTGATTCAATAATTTGGTGGGAGAGTCATCTGAGGATTAGATTCTATAAACAGCCTTTATGAAAGGATATATTTTTTTGTCAATTAATTGGCCTGGAGAATTTTGTCATTTCAATCTGTCACTGTTGAATTTTGCTTTACTGCAAAATTTTGAAATTAAGGCAAAAAGGAAAAGTGTCTATCTAATGCTTTTGGCAAGCTCTGTTAATTAATAGCTTTTTGAAGTACTAAATTTCCTCAGTTTTATCTTAATTAACACTCTTAATTGACCTTCTGTGATCTCTAGATTCTCCCAAAAGAATTAAAAAATAGACTTTTAAGTTCTTTTCTGCAATCATATTGACATGCAATTGCTTGTGTAGACATCTTCTCTGCCTTCACAAACGTTTTTTTCATTTTTATTTTTTACCACTGAAGTCCCCACTGGAAATTACAGTCCATTGAACCATAGAACTAAAATTGATTGTGCACATAAAGAATCCTGGAACAATTGAATGAAGAAAAGAACTTCCTGGATTTCTGTGCTAAAATCAGAACTCAAGTGACAACAAAACTTTTACTAAATTTGAACTCACCTGCCCTGGATCACCAAGAAAATATTTTATGTTCTTCCATTTACCCCCAGTGACAGGAAGAATTGAGTTTTTCCTTCATTTAGCCTACATCAAAGCATTGTTATAGATGTCAAAGAAGATGAATTTCAGTTGCCAGCATTTTTAGGGTGCATTCTCTAGTCGATCTTCTTTATGTCAATTTCTTATTCTTTTTTTGAAATGGTGGAAAGTTAAAGCAGAAGAGCCCTAATTGCTTTTCTTTTAAATTAAATTTTAATTAAAGCTTTATGTGTCATCTATTACAACTCTAGCAATCCTAAAAGTGCATTTTACTATTTTCTTCTGAAAAATAGAATGCAAGTCTCTTTGTAACATGTTGTGAGAAACTTTAGTCAGTTCATTCTGCTGGTATATGGAAGGCATTACTAAAAATGCAAATTATATGTTTTGAGACTTGAAACTTTCAAGTAACTATTAATCTTGGAGCTTACTTTTATATTCTGAGATTAAATAATGACATTTTAAGCACTTAAACCTTCACTAAGAGCAAGATAAGCAAGCATAACTTCATTTCAAGCATTTTAACGAAGTTGAGTCCACTGGTCTTTTCATGTCCTTAATGTTAAGCATATGCCTATGTACTTTTCTGAAATGGTGGATGGTATTTAGCAGAATGAATTACAACCTATAACTGTCATTTCTTTAAGACCACTAATAAAATAGGAAGTATGCAAAATAAGGTTTCATTTTTAAAGTAAACAAAGTAACTTTTTGTAAGCATTGCCTTTTTATTGCTGTGTGCAGCTGTAAATCATGTCTTGAAAGCAAAGCCATCTTTTTAAAAGTGTATTTGGAAAAACAGTGCATTATTTTGTCCTGAGCTGTTGATACAATTTCCTGTCCAGATCTGGTACCCCATTAATTTTATACTATGAAAAAAAGTCTCTCTGAGCCATAGGAAACAATTTTGGGATTGTTGCACATACGTATATCACCATAGCTCTGCCTGCTGTAGTTCTGCAGATGATGTTTAACAAACTCCTGGTTACTCTATTTTGGGATTAATGTCCTCCTTCCTCAGACTTGTGTGGTTCCATAGCCTTATGCTACACATAAATGGAGGATTTTTTTATTTCCTATGTGTAAAAGTTGAAATTTGAGTGCAATTACAGTAACAAGAGGAACTCTTTTTCTAATGAGTCTCAAAACCCCCTGACCAAGCAAGAAACATGTAAAACTCTCCTGTAGAGAGGGAAATTGAGTGCACAGTGTTAGCATAATAGCAAGGGCTGAGACATTGCTTTGCACTACAGTTTTATGGGATGATATTTTAAAAGGTATTCGGAAATTTATGGCCTTTTAGGGACAGCTAAAATTGTTTTCGCATTTCTAATATTGCTTTCATTAGAATTTTGAAAGCATGTTTATGGTATCAGATTGCATTCTAAGGTGTTACCAAATCATCCAGAATCTCCACTGCTTAAGTATATTCCCTTGTACCCTGTGTATCTTCAGAGGAAAAAATGGATGAATATAAGTGCTTTGGTTTAAAGTATATAATCTGTATTCTGTCATGTACTTCATCTCCCAGGGAAGGTACCTGGGAACTCACTCTGCTGTTTTTATTTATCCTGCCAGTGCAGTATATAGATGAGAGGACTAAGGTCCAATGGTGTTAAAACAAGACATGAAATATTGATTAATTCTTTTTTAAAATTCCTTTTTCCTCCTGAGTATAGCAAATTTCAGATGCTGCTGTCAATATAGTGCTCTCCAATAAACCTCCATTATCGGAAGAGTCCTGATCTTCATCGTGTTCTTATAAATGGTTATTATGATTCTAAAATGCTTTGAAAGCTCAAGGCCAGTGTTTTCCTGGTGCAAGAGTAGAAAGCAAGTTAGAAGCAATGCAGCCTTTTATCATGGCAGAATGTTATTTTGAAATAACATGAATTGGATTGGGAATTCTTCCTGCTAGACTGTAGCAGAACATTCTGGTTGAAGAGATGAAGATCCTGATGGGGCAGATAAACAGCTATACACTTCCGTGGCTACAAAGGTGTCCAAAAAAGCAGCACAATTACAGTTGGTTTCCTAATGAAACCTGGGTGTTCGACACCCTGCCTTTAGTTTCCATTTGTTGTTCTTCACTTTAAGTTAACCCTTTATTTATTATTTCCAGTATGAGCTTTACAAAAGCAGCTAAACTGATACTTAGCTGTTTCCCCAAAGGAAAGGATATATCAGGAAAGTCAGGGATAGAAGTTCACACCAGCTCAGCCATGAAGGAGGACAGACATGGGCAAGAAAGAGAATATTTAACTACTTTCAGTGTTCTTGGACTCAACTCTGGGAATTAAGTCAATAGTTTTTCACTAAAAAATCCAAAGGTTTATTTAAACTGGAGTGTACTGGAGTTTCTTTAGGAACTTAAAGCTTTTGGAGGTTTTCTAGTGTCCATAATAAAAGGTATTACACAGAGAAGGAATTTGAATCTCAGACCTGTATGTGCCAAGTAACTGTCATGATAAAAGCTGTAGAACTACTCTTTCACCCATTGTCTTAAGTAGTATTTAGTTCAGCTTGAGCAAGGATGTAACACAGAATCTGTGCTAAAAACCAATGATTGGTATATTGATGCAGGAGGAGGGAGGCAGGAGAGTGAAGTACATTCTTGCTCTGAACCAGGAAAAAACACCTGAGGTTGGTTCTTCTGTCTCACAAGGAAGTTGGGGCTTATAGGCTGGGTAAATTGCTATAGGGCTTTTTTTTTTCCACATGAAAATTTTATTCCTGCCCTACTAAGAAGATGTTTTCAGAAGATTTTGTTGGTGGCAATAACTGATTTACACATAGGCTTACTTGGGAGTTCTTTTACAACAAAACTTAATTGTGTGCAAACATTAGGCTGCTTTAACTTAGGATGGAGAACAGACTGCTCCCTGCCACACCCAAAAACTAAGAGCTTACAGGTGTGGCAGAAAGCTCATATATCCCCTTCTCTCACTCACACCCAGCTCTATTGAGGTGCTCTTTTAAGATGGTTTTTTGAGTTTTGTGGTATCTTTCTTTGGAAATGAGGCATTTTAAAATAATTTAAAGATAATTATTTTCACTGATTTCAGTAAAACTGAAAGCAATACATGCACAAAGCTGGACTTCAGTGATTTCATAAGCAGTAAGGGCTGAGTGTGCTCTCACTGCTTGTGAGGTGAAAGCAGTGAGCCTTGCATGCCCAGGTTATCTGGGTAACTCCATTGACTCCCAGTCCCCCATTGGTAACGTTTGTGTGAGCAGAGCCAACAGGATTTAGTTTGTGGTTAAAAATGCATGTGTTTGCTCAAACGACCAGTCTGTGAGCTAAATCCTTACACATGTAATTTTTCTCACTGGTGCAGGTTATACTTCTGGGCTGATTGAATGTATCTAGTCATTTGGGCAAAGACTGTCAATCTGGGCACTATGCTCTTGTGCTTTTCTCTCTGCTATGGTAGCTCAAAGAACGATAACACAAAATTAGGTCAAGGGATATGCATAGAATTTTGGTTTTCAGAACCTTCTGTTAGATGGTTTTGTACCAAAATATCCTTGGAAGTTTCATTGCTGTGTGAATTTTCAGGTTGAGGGAAGCCCACTGCAGATTAAGATTTTGCTTGCAGAAGAGGACGGTGCCTACTCATGTGAGCACAACACAAATTCCAACAGTACTTTGTGTTTTGGTAAACTTTATCTCATTTTACAAACTCCACTAATTGCTTTTCAGATGTGAAAAGAAATAATTTTCTCTTTTACTGGAGATGCATTATTTGACTTCAGATATTTAACATGTTTTGTTTCCCTGTGGACAATAGCTGGAGGCCCCAAGCTGGGAAGAATGAGAGCATATCTATAAATAATTCAAAGTAATTGTGTGGTTTTGACAGATTGTCAAGCTGCTTAATGCCTTTTGTCCCAGGCAATAGATTTTATTTCTTTGATAAAGTGTTGATAATTTCTCATTGCAATTTGTTTTGTGTATGTTGTATTTTTACAGAGTCCAGTCAGGTTCATATCTCAGCACGGGTTGGTTCACCTTAATTTTGGCTATGGATGCCTGCTATGGAATTCACGTCTATGGGATGATAAATGACACCTACTGCAAGTAAGATCATAGAAAATTATTTTCATGCATCTACAATTCTGATGTCTTGTCAAAATTTCACAATTGATTTTAATATCATAAATCCAAAAAATGGATCAGGCAGTCATTTCCCAGCGTTTTGCATTGATGTGACACTATTGTCAGCATATTCACTCCTGATATGGCATGTGCTGTTGATAAAATAAAAACATTTACAAAATCTAACATCAGATGTCATAAGGAGCTATTTTTAATCAAAGATCTTTTGCAGATTCTGAATTAGCTGGAAACAAAGTATGCTCATATTCTTTTGATAAAATGTATTTGCTTCCATTGCTAAAACAAATCTACAGAGGAAAAAAACTAACACATTGTTTTCTGAATACCAAATAGACCTGGAAGTGAAATAAAATGATTAGCCCAGGATAGTTACCTGAAATTACATTTCACTACCATTGAGCAACCTACTTGAACTTTCTCGGTTATATATGGCTTGTTTTGAGTAGTAGAGGGTTCTAATTAGATAATAAAACAAATCCTGTGAGCTTTATCACCATAAACTGACATAAATTCCAACCAACTACTGTTGGTGACCTTACTGTGGTAGTGGATTAATCTTATGGTCAGAAGTATAACTCTAAACACAATTTTTAAAAGTCCAAGTTAAATACTTTAATCTACTGTGTATGGTAGAAAAATATAAAAGGAAACTATTCCTCATTCATTCAGAAAAGCAGGAAATGTCATGAACAATGTATGTATGGTACTAGTACATACACATCTATTCTGTACCTAAGCTGGTCCAAGTCCTGCATGTAAGCAGTCCAGCACATCACGAGCTTCTAAAGTCAAGCCTTTGTGCAGATTCTCACTCCACATTCTGTGTCACTCCAGTGTGAGACTCATTGCTGGCAGAACCTAAAAAATGTCACAAACAACAGAATTTGAGTCACAGCTGTTTAATTAGGATATCTTAACATTAGAGGCTGACTTTTTAGAACTTGCAGATCTCACTGATTGAGTCATCCAGATGGAATGAACAGAATGAACATATGTTGTTCTTTGTTTATGAAAACACACAGTAGGCACCCTGGGAGGAGGGGTGACAGGACTAAGGTTGTCCTCAGAGAGCTCAGCCAAGCTGGCATTGCATAGCCCTGATGTAAAACCAGTCCACAGCATGATAGCACTGTTGGCAGCAGAGAAGGATGTCCCCTTTAAGCTGTGATTCTGACTAGATTACCCACTTAAATTGGATGTTACTCTTATAACTGCCCTGTTCAGCCAGCTCAAGAACCAGTTTCAACAGCTGGGACTATCCAGTGAGAAGACTTTGGTTGGAGAGGGAACCTTGTGGGCTGAGTTATCACAGGTTAAGCAAAATGTGCAGTGCCCATAGGAGCCAGCCCTTCAGCTTCTCACTGACTGGTAAGATCAGTGTATGCTGAGAGATAGACTGAGCTTCTTCTGCCTTAGGAAAACTCCTAGAAATCGTGATGTAATGAAAGCCCTTACAGTTTAGCAAAGGAGCCCAAGTGCTGACACATGGACAGGATTTCAGATCATTCATAGAATTGTTTAGAATTGGGGAAGACCTTTAAGATCATGGAGTTTAATTGTTAACGCAGCACTACCAAGTCTGCACTAAAATGTGGCCCGAGTGCCACATTTGCACATCTTTTAAATACATCCAGAGCTGGTGAGTCAATCACTTCCATGGGCAGCCTGTTTCAGTGCTTGATGACCTTTTTGGTGAAGAAATTTTTCCAAATATCCAATTTGAACCTCCAGTGGTGGAGTTTAAAGCAATTTCCTCATGTCCTGTCACTTGTTCCTTGGGAGAAGAGACCAACCCTCTCCTCATTACAACCTCCCTTCAAGCAGCTATGAAGAGTAAGGTCCCTCCAGAGCTTCCTTTTCTCCAGGATGAAGACTCCCAGCTCCCTCAGTCATTCCTTGTGGGAGTTGTGCTCCAGACCCTTCACTGGCTCCATTGTCCTTCTCTGCACTCACTCCAGCACCTCAGTGTGTGTTTTGTAGTGAGAGACACAAAACTGAACCTGGGATTTGAGGTGTGGCCTCAGCAATGCTGAGAACAGGGCACAATCACTGCCCTGCTCCTGCTGGCCACACTATTGCTGATCCAAGCCAGCATGCTTGTATCTTGTATTCAGGTGTATTATACATTTACGTTTTTCTGGAAGACAGTAATGCAGTGTATCTTTCTTCTCCCTAGGTCAGAAGGCTTTCGCAAAGTTCCCTACCACTACTACGAGCCAGGAAGAGACGAGTGTGAGGAATACTTTCTCCATGAAAATGCTCCCTATGGAGGCCACAGGTTTATCACAGAAAAGAAAGTATTTGCTAAGTGGGCCAAGAAGCACACAATAATATTTACACATCCCAACTGGACGGTGTCTTGATACTGGTTTACTTAACTCTCCCTTAACAGCATATTACAGAAATGTCTCAGTTTACAGTAGTTTTGCTTACATCTGGCTGGCCTTTCTCAGCCTAGGTAACACTAAACTAAAAATCAGAAGACAAAGAGGGTGGTGGTTCAGCTGTTAAGCAAAATTAATCATCTGTGGAAGGCAGACACATTGTTTGTTATTTCTTAGGGTTTTAATCCACACTATGCACTTTATACTTTAACTGGATTTTACTTCAAGGCAGGAGCAGTTAAAGACAGATGAGATTTCCTGTATATACAGGTGCACACAGAGAGCATGGTGGTCCTTTGAAAATTGTCCATCATCTCAGATATTTAAAATTATTATTTGTAGCTCATTTGCTGTACTAAAGCATTAGTTCCATTTGTGGTATCAGTAGAAATTTTCAACAAGAGAAATGTGAAGTAAAATACAGACCTCCAAGGTCCAGGAGTGAGTAAATTTCAAAAAACAACACCTGAATATATTGATACACAGTATATTGTGAGCACTTGCATCTATGGTAAAATTAGAGATGAGCTAAGCATGGTTCTTGAACTGTACCCAACTGTTGAATGAAAAGATATTACCTACTCAAGACTCCTGATTAATTCATAACTTCTGAAATGCAGCTTCCTTCCACCTTGGTCAGTCTGCACCATCTGGGACTAGGTAGTTTGTGCTTTTTGAAGCTGTTGTCCTACACTTCAGCTCCAGCAGAATGGCACTTGGCAAAGATTGTGTTTTGCAGCCCATGATGAACCTTTGGCTGTTGTACCAAGCCTGCTGTCAGTACCCAAGCTGGTGAGTGTAAAGTTGTCTCATTAATATCTCCATTTACTCCAGTTGTGCATTTGACTTGCTCCAACATCCAAATAACAGTATTTTGACAGTATTTCCCATGCAGCCATCATAATTTATTTTAGATCTCCAGTTTCTTCATCTTTAAAAACAAGGATAGTGTCTATCTACCTCACAAGAGAGTTGTGAGAACTAATTTAATTTAATTTAAAGCACTTTCCTGATGCAGAATGCTCCAGATCATTTATTCTTAACACAAAAACAATGGTACCTGTCATTTATTTTTGTCTGATGGGGATTTGAAGAAAGTGACAATGTGTCTAGCTCTGATGGCAAATTGTTCTGTGCATCCACTTTCCTACTGAGGATAATTTGTAATACTGAGTTCTATCAGCTTGCATTGCTTCAGATGAAGTTGAAAGAACTCCCCATCTCACAGTATTATCTGCACATTAAAAGGCAGTTCAAGAATCTTAAAATATACTCATCTCTAGTTTAAGTATGTATTTCCAAGCTTACTGTCATGGAAAGTTTTCAACTGCAGCAGACTCATTTGTACTATGACCATAATTCAAATACACATGTGAGTTTTATTTAAACTGTATTTAAACTAATGCTTTAATTTTAGAATGTGTCCTATGAATATTTTAACATCGAGAATGTCAGATTCAACACTGTAATAGCCAATACTGTGAACACTTGAAGGAATTATGTGTGGAACATGTCACACAGGGTTTACTCACACTACTTAAACATTAACCAACAGGAAACTTTGTATGCTTTTGTAAATCAAGAAAAGGGGAAAGTAAAAAACTATTTTTACATGTAAGTATTTGTATACTGACTATTTCCTATTGTATATTTGTATATATAAATCTATATTTTATATGTTCATTGCATATATATTCGCTCATCAACTGCTCCAACTCATAGGGTGGGGAGGAAATCAGTATTCCTCCTCCTGATCATTGGTTTCTTGTTCCTGTTGGTAGGTGATTCCAGGGTATCATCTGTGTTTCTTCTTCTATTTTCTACCATAAATGCAGCTCTCTGATTTTATTTTTTTATATAGCTCAGCTTTCACTGCTTTCTTTAGTACTGTAAGTATTCATTCTGGTTGTCAGACGAAGGCTGGGGCCATGCTTATGATCTTGGATAAACATCTATATTCAACACAGGCTTTGTCCCAGGTTTCTGGCATGACTTCATGTCTCACCTTCCTGTTTAGAAAAGAAGAACAATAGTATTTTCCTACTCCCTTTCTTGACTTTCTTGAGATGTTGAGATGAGTATTCCCATTTTCAACTTACTTGTATAACACTTTGAAGAAAAGGTGCCCTAAGTGTCTGAAGCTTACAGGCAATGCTGTGACATACAAGTAATTAAAAGTGGCTGTTTCTTGTCCCTGGAGTTTAAATTAGTTGTCTGCTAATACAACATGGGATGAAATCAAAAGGGGAAAAAGGGTCATGGTTGGAAGAAGAGCTGTAGTAGAAAAACCAGATTTATCACCATGCATCTGTTCAGTTCACATAGGTGGCTGGATATATGGAAAGGTAATAAAAAATTGTAAGGCAGGATTTGAAAAATTCAGGACATACAGAATTAGGGAGAATGTTCCACACATATTTTACAGGGCAGCCTGGGAAATCCTATCATTCCCTTGAGGGAAGAACATCAGCCAATTGAACTTGTATTTAGAAGGTTTCTGGGTTAATAGAAAACTGCAATGAAAGTGCTGCACATGGAATTTTTTTGGACTGGACAGAGTTCCATGGAAGTGTCCACATGAAGCAGAGTGTTTGTCTCCCCGAGTGTTTCTCCCCAGTGAGCACAAGGATTCTGCCTGAGTTTGTTCACCTGGTTTCTAAGCTTGAGAAAGTTTTTAAGATGATTAATACTTGCTAATTCACCATAAACGTGTTGTAAAATATGTGCTTCATTCTGAAGCTCTTTCAAGAGTGCTTGTATGCTGCATGAAACATTATCACAAAGGATAGCTAAGAAAAATACAGCTCTAAGAACATCTAAATGTACACAAAATTGAGAACACAATTAGTTTAGGTGACACAGAGCAAAGTAAAGGTGTTACTCTCTGCTTGGATTTGCACTTAGAGCAGATCCACTTTAGAAACATTGCAGCAGGCTTCATTCATACTAGAAAAAGTGAGAGAGTGAACATCAGTTCCCTTATCTAAATGAGCCTGTCTTTAGCATAAGTTAAATGCATATTTACACGATTTTTATTATATGAGTAAGTAACTGTGACCACTGTGTTAAAGATGATTCTACAAAGAAATTACTTGGTTGAAATTTGTTAAAAACCAGCTGTGGTACTAAAGAAAGAATGTCAGTACTTGGATGTGTATAAGGAATCTTGGTGGTTCACCTTATGAGAGCAGTTAAGAAATCAGCTGAGAATCACTTATTAATTCTTTAAGATAAAACTACTACAGTTTACCTGAATGTAATCATATCCTAATTGCTTATTCATTCAAGCAGTCCTCTTTTAATCAACTACTCATGAGTATAAAACAAGCAGGGAGTTTACCTGAGGATTTCAAAATGCATTTTCATGTTGCTTCTAAGAGAGGAATGCTCAAAAATATTTTGGCCTTTTCTTTTTTTTTTGCCGTCAGTGAGCTGAGTAGTCATCAAAAGTTTCTTCTAAAATGTAGGGGGGATTTAAATACACTTTTTTTAAAAGGAGGGGAAGGCATAAAAAAGGCATAAATAGCTTGGTTTTAATAAACATTTAAATGTAAATATACTTTATGTTTTATGTTGCATTACCTTCTGAGTTTTGTTTTCAGAGTAGAAATTTCTAAATAGGAGCAGAAAATTTCATTTAAATTATCTTTTTGACTGGATAATTACTATTCATAGATAATTGACTGAATAAAATAGTGTAGCTTTTTCTTTCCAAACTGACATAACAGGCATCATCCCAACCTTTTCATCCCTATTAGATGTCCAGATCACATCCTTCTGCTTATACCAAGGCCTCTTCTCAGAAAGAAAAAAATTAGTTTATATATCCAGCCAAATTCCCTTTCCATCTGGGCTGGGAGGCTCCATCTGCAGACTGCTCCTATCAGTTACATCAGTAAATGGGGAGGACTTATGGAGAGCTCTACTTAGGAGCAGATGGTGTTCCAGCTTCTAAAAAATGCCCCTAAAGTGCTTTAGGCAAGGAGTACCCATTGATCTCTCCTGGAAATACTTTACTAAAGTGTTCCGTTTCTTCAAATGCCTTTAGCTCCTGTGTAGAATAATTGTCCTGTTCTCTGGAGCAGGAATTATCAGCAAAGGGAAAGCCATGCCCTTTACAGGAAAAAATGGAGGCAAATTTAGTGTTGTTAAGTATTTGCACGTAAACACCACCAGGGATGAAGAAGTCAACCTGACACAAGTTATCTGAGCACTCACTGATTTAGGAATATCTGAAGACTCTCTTCAAAACTAATGGAAGTGGCTTTGGCAAGTTCATGAGTACAGCACCTACCCCAGTAAAATCCTTGCACTCCTGGGTGCCAGGGTAAGCAGTGTTTTGTCTGGGAAGTACCAAAGCACAAAATGCTTTGCAGAATTAATAAAGAGAAGCTCATCCAACTCTTGGAGGGCTGATGCTGATGGTCTTCCATTATCCACCTGCTAATGGGCTGGACTGAAGTAGGACCCCACACAAAGATAGCTGGCAGCAGAGCACAGATGCTCAACCAGAAGACATGTCCAGGTAAGTAAGAATTAAGTAACCTCAGTGAATTATACCTGGATGATGTTCTTAGTAAGCAGAAAATCAGAAGTATGTTACATATTGATGCTTAGAATTTGCTGTCTTTTTTTCTGCATGTATGTCAGAAATAGTGTGTCTTCAGTTGTGCTGAAGCAAGCCTGGGCTGTGTTCATGATGAACCTTAGGGTACCCACAAGAGTGAACCTTGTGCTCACACAGGAGCTGTCTGTGGGCATTGTGATGTACTGTGAGCAGCAGTCATATATTTACTTTAAAAAGTCCTGTTTTTCCTGACTATATTTAGTTCCTTTGGGGAGGAAACATTTCATTTTCAACAGATGTGTTTCATTCTGTTCCTTCTTTCCTGAGAGGATGCACAGGAATGAAACTTAACCATAGAGGAGTGAAGCCAGCTACCAGATTGATTTATATTTTTCTGGCTATTGCTGTGATCTGTATAGCTAAAGTCATAGGGGAAGGGGGAAGCTTTTTGTAAGCCTTGTCTAGTATAATCTGCAGAAGATTGTGTGTCTGTTCTGGATTAGAGTCTCCTAGGCAAACCCTCTAAAAGGGGCTGAAGGAGAAAGAAAAGGTCTCTCTCCATTGAAAGAAAGGACTTCTGTG